AGTTTCGTCCATTGTTTTCTCGTTTAGCGGACACGCTCTCTATTACTTGGGGACCATGCGCCGCTTTTCATGGAATGGCACATAAGTGTCACATTGAAGGTTCCATGATGACCGCCGTATGATCACATCTGCGGATGTTTCTAAATTCAAAATTCTACTATTTCATGTTAAAATGTTCAATTCTGCTTAAGCCGGTGCTATGGGGTGCGTGGACGGTAATTTGCACCTGACAGTACCGTACAGGAACGGGCTCAATTAATCCGGGCCTGCAACATTTTCAATTTTCCGTTTTGGACTTTCTTTAAGAATTCTTGTTTTGTCTATTTTCTTTAACTCTATTTTCGTTATTCGATCTTTGTCAGAATAACCATACAGTTTCTCTCTAGATATTTTTTACAGCGATACATTGAAGAGAATCATATTTCTATGAACAGTTTACTTTTTAACCTGGTTGCTGTGCGTATAAACGTTATCTACATGTAAATGTCAAATTGTTAAGCTAGCAAATATTTTATGATCATGCGAGTTTTGAGAAAAATTTACATCATTTTAGGGAAGACACACTTGTACTGTGTAGCGTTTTTTAGCTCACCAAAGCCGAAGGCTCAGGGTGAGCTATTAGTATCAAAGGGGGATGTTCCGGCGTCCGTCGTCAATCGTCATGCGTCAACAATCGTCTTCTCTGAAACTACTGGGCAGATTTACTTCAAAGTTGGTCTGTAGCATCCTTGTGACAGTCACACTTGAATTGCTCATGTCATTCAAATTGGCCCCTTTTAGGTCTCAGCAGAGCTAAAAATAGAAAAACCTTTAAACATCTTCTTCTGCAGAACTAATTGATGGATGATCACCAAACTTTGTCTGTAGCATTCTTGGGTAGGTTTTATCCAGTTTGTTCATATTAATTTGAATGGCCCCTTTTAGGGGCCGTTAAAGCTTAAAATAGAAAAAAAAACTTTTAAACATCTATTTCTACAGAACTTATTGATGGATGATCACCAAACTTTGTCTGCAGCGTTCTTTGGTAGTCTTTTATCAAGTTTGCTCATATGAATTTGATTGGCCCTTTTAGGGGCCGCTAAAGCTACAAATAGAAAAACCGTTAAATGTCTATTTCTAGAGAACTAATTGATGGATGATTACCAAACTTTGTCTGTAGCATTCTTTGGTACTCTTTTATCACGTTTGCTCATATTAATTTGATTGGCCCCTTTTAGGGGCCGCTAAAGCTAAAAATAGAAAAAACTTTAAACGTCAATTCTACAGAACTTATTGATGGATGATCACCAAACTTTGTCTGTAGCGTTCTTTGGTAGTGTTTTATCAAGTTTGCTCATATTAATTTGATTGGCCCCTTTAAGGGGCCGCTAAAGCTAAAAATAAAATAAGTTAATTGTCTATTTCTAGAGAATTAATTGATGGATGATCACCAAACTTTGTGTGTAGCATTGTTGTGTAGTTTTTTATCAGCTTTGGAATTATTATTTTGATTGGCCCCTTTTAGGGGTATCTAGGGCTAAAAAACAGTAAATCCTTTAAACATCTTCTCCTACAGAACTAATTGATTGATGATCACCAAACTTTGTTTGTAGCATTCTTGGGTAGTCTTTTATCAAGTATGCTCATATGAATTTGATTGGCCCCTTTTAGGGGCCGCTAAAGCTAAAAAAAGAAAAAACCTTTAAACGTCTATTTCTACAGAACTAATTGATGGATGATCACCAAACTTTGTTTGCAGCATTATTGGGTAGTGTTTTATCAAGTTTGCTCATATGAATTTGATTGCCCCTTTAAGCGGCCGCTAAAGCTAAAAAATAGAAATACCGTTGAATGTCTATTTCTACAGAACTAATTGATGGATGATCACCAAACCATGTCTGTAGCATTCTTGGATAGTCTTTTATCAAGTTTGCTAATATTATTTTGATTGGCCCCTTTAAGGGGTCTCTAGGGCTAAAAATAGAAAAACCTTAAAACATCTTCTCCTACAGAACTAATTGATGGATGATCACCGAATTTTGTCGACAGCATTCTTGGATAGTGTTTAATCACGTTTGCTCACATTAAAATGATTGGCCCCTTTTAGGGGCCGCTAAAGCTAAAAAATAGAAATACCGTTGAATGTCTATTTCTACAGAACTAATTGATGGATGATCACCAAACCATGTCTGTAGCATTCTTGGATAGTCTTTTTTCAAGTTTGCTAATATTATTTTTATTGGCCCCTTTTAGGGGCCGCGAAAGCTAAAAATAGAAATACCTTTAAATGTCTATTTCTACAGCATTAATGGATGGGTGATCACCAAACTTTGTCTGTAGCATTCTTTGGTAATCTTTTATCAAGTTTGCTCACATAAATTTGATTGGCCCCTTTTAGGGGCCGTTAAAGCTAAAAATAGAAAAAACCTTTAAACATCTCCTACTTCAGAACCAATTGATGGATGATCACCAAAGTTTGTCTGTAGCATTCTTGGGTTCTCTTTTATCAAGTTTGCTTATATTAATTTGATTAGCCCCTTTTAGGCGCCACTCAAGCTAAAAATAGAAAAAAACCCTTCAAACATCATTTCCTACTGAAATAATTGATAAATTATCACCAAACTTTGTAGCATTCTTAGGTAGTCTTTTACCAAGTTAACTCATTTTAATTTGATTAGGCCCGTTACGCTTAAGCTTAAATGCCCAAGGTCATGGCATTTCTTTAAATTATTGTTTAAACATATTCTATGCTCAAAATATGATTAACAAGATCGACAAGTTTAATATGAGAATATATTGACATTCCAACACTGAAAAACATTTGTTTCTGGTGTGCGACTCAGGGCCATCGTGGTCCTCTTGTTTTTTGTGTTTTCAGAAGAAAATTTGTTGTTTTGAAGGGAGTTTTGTTGATTAAATGGAGTTTGTGGTTATCTTATTTGATCAGGGTTCATTAGTTGTAATGAGTTGTTTTGGTTGTTGCATCATATTTGGTTGTTGAGTTATATCTGTTTGGGGAGAAATATTGGTTGATATTTGTTGAATGTTTGGAGTGATTTTGTCTGGTCAAGATTATATTAGTTGATACTTTGTTTTTGAAGATATGTTGTTTTAGATTTAGTTGTTTTCTGATGCTGATTAGATTAAGTAAAGTTAATATTGTTGATTGAATGTTTCTGGTTTATACTGAACAGGCTCAATCAAACCGAGCCTGCAACATTTTCAATTCTGCCGTGTTGGGCTTTCTTTAGGGATTCTTATTTTCTCTATTTTATCGCCATATCAGCGTTGTTTGTGCCGTGTGGAGGCTGTAAAAAGTCGCCCCGTACATTCAATCAGAGATGTTATATTTCCGATTCTTAAAGATCGTTCAGCACGACATTATTGTTGTGTTTGTGGTATGTTTAGTTTAATTATTTGGCATTTTCTAGTTTGCTGGTTCCAATATTCCTACTTGAATAATGTTGAATCACCCTTAAGATATATTGCCTGCTTTTTAACTTTGTCTTTTGACGTCTTATCTGTAATATGCAGGCTTCATAACCTCTGATCCCCTTTCGAAATTCCATTTTGTTTAGTTCCGCCCATTGTTTTCTCGTTTAGGGCACATGCCTTTTATTACTTGGGGACCATACGCCGCTTTTCGTGGAATGGCACTACTGTGTCACATTGAAGGTTCCATGATAACCGCCGTATGATTGTCTGTAGCATTCTTGGGTACTCTTTAATCAAGTTTGCTCATATTAATTTGATTGGCCCGTTTTGGGGGCCGCTAAAGCTAAAAATAGAAAAAACCTTTAAACGTCAATTCTACAGAACTAATTGATGGATGATCACCAAACTGTGTCTATAAGGTTCTTGCGTAGTCTTTTATCATCTGCGGATGTTTCTAAATTCAAAATTTTACCATTTCATGTTTAAATGTTGAATTCTGCTTAAGCCGGTGCTAGGGGGCGTAGACGGTAATTTGCACTTGACAGTACCGTCCATGAACAGACTCAATCAAACCGAGCCTGCAAAATGTTCAATTCTGCCGTGTTGGGCTTTCTTTAGGGATTCTTATTTTCTCTATTTTATACTGTATCTCAGAGTTGTAAAATATATCTTTTTTTTTGTCATTTTGCGGCGATTTTTTTTTATTATCAATTGTTTAGAGCCTGGGCTTGCCAGCTGCCAGTATTGTTTCGTATAAAAGACGTAACGTGAAAAGATATTTTGTATAAGTGGTTGATCAATGATGTGTGTTTGTTGTGGGTGTAAATAATGATCAGAGTTCTTTGTTTTGGGTTTACATAATGATCAGAATTTGTTGTTTAAATGGACTAATTGAGCTAGAAAAAGAAAAAAATAACTAAAAATAGTGTTAACTAAACAAGTAGATACTAGTTTTCAAACTGAGAATATTTCAATTCTAAGTCAAGCGGTGCTGCCCAGCCCCATATCTTGGAAATTGGTTCTATTATTTATTACTAAATCTTTCCTTAGATTAAATAGCACCAAGGTAGTCATTCTCCTGACAAGATTTACATTTCATTCACGTATTCAGGTACAGATAGATCTATTTAAGTGTGCAAACTTGCATACATGTATGTACTGTATGCAATGGAAGATACGAACTTGTCAATTTGTTGTTGATCTCCATGTTAGGTAAGTTGTTACGATCTATATGTTGTTATATAACTTGTTATGTAAAGGCAGGAACCTCAAATTAAAAGATTGGATTAAGAAGCATATTATGTGCTATGTACGAGGTAGGCATACAAGTTAGCATTTTATTATTTATTTTTAAAAGGAACATTTTACCTGTCTGGAATTTTGGCAACCAACAATCAATAAAATATAATGAAATATTTAGAGGAGAAATAATTTATTATTTTTTAAAATGCTATGAATCAGTGTTAATTTTTATTTCTTTTTATCCATTAACTATTAATTATGATTTTAACTGAATCTTGAATGATATAACCAAGGAGACAACATTTGTTTGTCATTGAAACCGAAAGCAGAGTTAAATTTCCTACCTGTGTTCAACAGTCATACAAGTTGAGCAGCCAACCTTATCATGACTAGGACAGTAGACATCTATCAATTTTCCTCCATGTTTTCCACATTTTTGACTTGGTAATTCTTGCCTTTTCCCGCTCGGTTGTTTAACCGTGTCAAGTAACTGATGTCTTCTCATTGCGGAAAACTTATTATGATCACCCACACATTTTTGACAAAGATTTTCGTCACATTCCACACAGTATTTTATGGCAGCCACATTCCGCCCTTCTTGAGTACATGGTAAGCACGGAAAGTCATGTTTTATATCTGAATCTTGATACATAGTTTGTCTTAATTTACGTCCATCGACTGTCATGTTTAAACGTTGTCTCTCGCCTCACATACGTCGTTAATTTTTAGATAAATTGTATCAAAAATTATCAGTATAAAATTTAGGTCAAGTTAAATTATACATAAAGTTTACATTAGATTTATCAAGCAATAATAATTAACAAAAGAATGGGTATTTTTTTTTCTTTTTCGATCGATAATATAAATTCCTGTTCGAAAACTGTCCTAATTGCGAGGGAATGGACGAATCAAGGCGCTCTCACATAATGGACAGTTTGAAAATTGTTTCTTAAAACATGTTCATTTTTGTCTTAATAATGACCAGTTATGTTATTCCTCATAACCACCATGCAATTATTTAACAACACATGTATATAGTGGTAAATTATTGGCCAATGTTGTTTGAGCGAGGGGAATGGACATAATGGACAGTTAGACAAGTGTCCCTTCAAGATTATTCTTTATTGTCTTAATGATGACAAGTTATGTGAATTCCCATAACAAATAGGTTTAATTTAAAAAGCTTATAGTTTGCATTTTTTACCAGTCAATATGATTTCATCGCAACACTTTTTATAATTTCACTTAATGTACGAAGTTAATTTCCCACCTTTGTTCTATTGAATAATTTTAATGAAATCAAAATCCGATAACATTCGCTTCTTTATTTAAGGGAAATAATATTATACATAAAACAATTGAAGTAGGTCCCTTTATGGCGTACATTGCCATTGTCGATTGTATTGAGCAAGAAACAGAGGACAAATGTTTATAACTTGAGATATACATTTATTACTTTAAGTTGTATAACATGAACATTTTAATCTGAAATTAAGACAGAATTACATTTGACATTACTGTAATTAATCCTAATCAACACCAGGACATGAGCATCAATATCATTAAGACGTTTAACATTACCAAAATAGTCGGAATAAAATATCAACAGTATATAGGAATCAAACTTATTCTCCTTTGAACAATTAGGACTTTTTTGATTCACTGTTATACATACTTCATTCTTACTTAAACAACTGCAATTATATCCCTTCATCGTTATTTTGGAAAAACATATGCATATTCTATAATAACTATTTTAAGCGATAGTATTAAGAAAATAATCGATTATAATACTAAGAAATCTCGCAATTAAATAAAGTGTGTTTTCTTTTTATCATTTTGAATATTATACGGATAAGTAAGTAGACTTTTCTATTTGTTAGATTTAAAGGCTCTCAACAAAAATGTAAATCTTTATGCATGCAATTATTATAAGTGATATAAAAATTGATTGAATTAATTTAAAAAAACCCAACAACATATAATTGAATATCGTTTATCTATTCCACACCGGTACAATATTTTTACACATATTTTTAATCTGTCAGTACAATAGACATATCAGTAATAAGATAATGACAACAATATATGACGTCACAACATATTGTGATAACAAAATAATCAGATACAAGTACGTACATGTAATTTTAACAACGATGATAAACATGTAGTAAATTTTTTAAACTATTTCTTTGTTTTAAATCTGCTCAGCAAATATTATGTTCATGTTTATATATTCCTTTCTTTAGCAAGCCGATATAAATCTTTTATTTATTTGGTCCGGAAACATTAAGGTATAATTTGAATCATTATCAATATTTATGTTTTGATGCATTTTAAAGCTATAAAAATACCGTAGGTCGTCATCTTGCGATGTATAGGCAATGACAGGTTTAATATGACTCGAAGGGAATTAATTTAGTAACGAACATACACTTGTTCAATCAGCGGTAATGCTGAGGGTTGCATCATTACTTCAGACAATTTAATGTTTTTGTCTAGATAAGAACTCATAACAAATTATTCAAAGCATCAACTAAAACTATTAAGCCAAATATTTTCTCCTTTTCCATATTATTATATCATTATTATTATCATTATTATTATTATTATTATTATTATTATTATTATTATTATTATTATTATTATTCGACTGCAAAGCAGAAGAGTATAATATGATTTTTAATAATGTGGAATTACACGATTGATTTGCAATCATTATTACTTAAGACAGCTTACTTTTATATTTAAATCCTAAGGAAAAGCATAATGTATTTTATACCAGGCAAAAAAACGAAATGATACAGAGAAATCTAATACATGTAATAACTAAAGCTCAAAGGCGCTCCTTCTTTTGAATAATAACTTATAATTTATAAGTGCTCGCGTTAAAGTTAGTTATGAAACAAAAAGTATGAAAAAAATGAATATCCTTAATTTACTACTTATTGTGTAGTGTTTTCTATAGAAACAAACATACTCGTGGAAATCATACGGAATAAAACTGACAAGAGACATCCATTTTAGGGGTTTATATGAACTGTATGATAATTGATAAATCATAAAAAACGATATGAAGTGCTCAATTATATGAATAGTCTGATTCTTTTATACATGACAAAGATTTTTATTAGTTTTTATGCAGATGATAGCATTTTGAGACAGTTTTTTCTATCTTATCTTAAGCATATGATGCTTTGGGAATTACAGTTATAATGGCGACCAGAGGAGGTAAAAATTGCTAATTGAAAAACATCTATTAATTTTACCCACATAAAAATAAACAAAACTTATTAATTTTGTATTTAACATAAAGAATTGTGATGTTTTGATGAATGGTATTATGAAATGAAAAAGCAATTACATTACTGAAATCTTTTTTAAAAAAAAGCACAGTGCTCAACTGAAAAAAACATAACATATAATTGAGTGTGTTTTATATATTAGGTTCAAAATCTATTACATTTGTGACACATCTTTGATAGTACGTAATACGTCTTTGACACTTTACGTTATAAGAATAATTCAAGAGTTTCTATTTTCAAATTCCCAAAGAGTCAATACAAAACAAAACGCTTTTACGAAAACAATCAGACTAAAGTTAACACTTAGTAAACGCAAATCTGAAGGTTAGGTACGTTAGTAAAACGGGCCTCGAGATCTAGCCCTTCTTGGAAGTGTAATTATCCAGTGCTGACGTTTATGTAATATTTCAAATTCTTCACTGAAAGTAATAAGTCTGCTTTAAGGCATTAATTGCATGTTACCTTTTCAATTTAAAATTGTGTACTGTTTCATATTGAGATAATTATTTGTATACATATCTGTTGTTTACATGTATACAATCTTAAAACTATGACATCTTTCTTGTTTTTAATCTAACAAATAATATTCTATGTTTACAATATTCTATGAATACAAAGATTGCGCTACCAACAATAAATTTAAAAGGGAGTGGTAGCCTAGTGGTTAAGGTGTCTGTCTCTCTGTCTCTCTGTCTCTGTCAATCCCTACTCGGACCACAAAGCTATATCTATGTATAATGTTAATCTGTTTTACAAGTCCGAAGTGCTGTTTCATATTTTTATCGTACCTAAATAGATACACAAGAGACTGGATACACATAAGGTCAACTTTCAACAGTTATGCTGAAATGCCACATATGACCACATATGACCTCCACAGATAATTCTGACTAAACTCAAAAGTTGTTCAATTACGCAAATTGATCTATTGCTATAATGAGAATTATTAATGTTTGGTCGCTTATGCAATGCTGCAAGCTTAAAGTCATGTTACTGAATGGAACGTATATGTGACGCTCTTTAAACCATCACAAATGAGAAGTTAACATTTCTTTAATGAGGTTTTTATGCCCCACCAAATATGCCGAGAGCAGAAAGCCGCTGCTTTGTCCTTCCGTTCTTTTGTACTTCTTTCGCGCTTTCCTACATTTTCTCCTTGCAGTTTCATTTATTCTTCTTCCTTGTATATTTTTCATATTTGTAGTTATATACTTTGGATAGTCCTATATTTCATAGATATCAAGGTCACAAGTGCTTAAATTAGTTTATTACTCGCAAGTACTAAAAATCTGTAATTGATGTTTTCAATATTTGGTAGGAATATGCCTTTGGATAGAGTCTGAGGATAATGGGGGTCAAGGTCACCAGTGCTTAAAATAAATTATTCACTTTTCTTATACAGTCTTTATTTATTACCTGAAGTATTGCATATCTGCATGGTTCCTAAGTTTTAGTGGAGCTTAGAGGCACTTGGCCCAGTCAAGGTAATGGTATCCGGTGCTAAAAATATGTTTTTACATTAATTTATGGTTATACAGCAATCATCTATCAAATGATTTCTTTTATATTTGGTGTGTAAATACGATGGTCTTCTAAGCTTTGTTGGAGCTTTGGGTCACTTTGTTTAAGGTAAGGGATTTTGATATCTAAAATAGTTGGAGTTATCGATCGATTAAATCAAGGTAATTTGTGCTAAAAGCAAAAGTTTTACATGTTTGCTTTTAAAGCCTTTATTACTTGACAAAATTTATACATTTCGCATGAACATATCTTGTGTAGGCCTCTTTTCCTATGTTAATTTTACTTGATATTGGCTATAATTATTGTTACTTATGATTGGCTTTTAATTTAAACATGATAATCTTTTGAACAAGACCTTAAATCAGACCAAATTGGTTTTGACCTTCACTCATCGATGACCTTGATTTTGAAGGTAAAATTAATGAATCTTGCTTGCTTTTGATATAATGGGCTATAACTCTAATTTATAAATGGATTACCACCATACTGGAGCATAACATCTTTGAGGACAATGTGTTGCAGATAATTAAAATTATTATGTTCTGGACTTTTACATTGAAGGTCAAATTATTGTAAATTTTCATTTTATTTGCTTTGCATTTTAATTGGCCTTAACTTTGTAAGTAATATGTAACTGAGGGTCGCCGGCTCCTGCACTTTCGGGTCATGCGCGAAATTAGACTCGCTGGACGTAACATCCAGTATTCCCTTTGTAAATGATTGTATATTAAAAACAAAAAGTCCAATGTTCAGTTCTTTCGTTTATTTTCACTTTGATGAAATAATGATAATTTCTCAAACTTAAAAATTGTATATTTAAAAAAGATAGCACATGAATTAGTTTAGTTATGTTTAAATGTTCTTG